AACGGACGTTGTCATGCGGTGCATATACGTATGTACAATGTTTGCGTATCCTCGACGGTACGATTATTGTCCCGAGTATACCAGCGGGACCGCTGCGAGACGCGTTCACCGTTCTGAGACATGCATAGCGGCTAACGTGTTTGGTGACCGCGCATACCACGAAAACTGAAAGCTCTCTCCCTCGTCTTTTCCTCCCTCTCTCTCTTTCTCTCGCTCGCTCGCTCGCTCGCTCGCTCGCTCTCTCACTCTCTGCCTCTCTCCGAGGCACAACAGAGTCTCGAGTTAGCCCGGAGACCAAGCTGGAGATGGTGGTCACCGTCAGAATGGAGAGCCAGCCTCAAGGGTGACGCGGCGGACTCGAAACAAGGGGGGTTGTTGCACGACCGGACTCGTCCCGCATACCTAACACTGCCCGACCGCCTCTCTCGCACCGAGATTTATGGCACGCGCGGCTGGACCGACCACGAAGAAGATAAGATTCGCCCGCGATCGGGATAACGAGCGCAGCGAGAAACTCTCCCTTTTCGGACAAAGAGTCGTTGGATCTATCCGGGCGATCTATTGTGGCCGGGCGCGATGCAATTAGGGCGCAATTGATATGGCGTGACCAATAGCTATTGATAGGGTATGCACGGTGCACGCGGCGCTCGAGCATCTAAATTGAAGAACAGATTTTCCCTATACATCCTCATTTACTTCTAACAAACGCCTGGCTACTTAAATTTGATTCTTTCAACCATAATTCGCAAATATATATTTATAGTTTGGTCGATAAAATTTAACACTTTTCCTCAATGAGATTTGACATTAAAAACCTATCACTATATTTATTATTTTTTTGACAAAGAACGTCATAGTTTTGAAAAAATTAATTATCAAAATTTGATGTTACATTTCTCACATTAACTTTAATATAATATATTTCAAACATTTTATTTTCTATAAGTTACTTCACAATTAAAGCAAAATTTTCTTCGAATTAAATGAATAAATGCGATTTTAATATAGATATAAGGTACGTCAAAGCGAAACATAGCATTTTAAAATATCCTAGCTCCTATCATTCGGCAGCAAGCAACTTGTGAGATTCGAAGGCATTCTGAAGAGTCTTATCAAGTGTCACGCGGAACATTTTTCGAAGGAGCTTTCGAGTAAGCAATCATGACGGTTACGGGGCGCAAGACATCATCTCGGTAAACTGGTCTAATCCGGGAGCAGGTCTCGGAACTGCTACGGCTTCTTCATCTTCGCGGCGCCAACTTTCGCGAGAACATTCTCTCGACGGCCTTCAGACCAGTCATTTAGTTATATTAAGGAAAAGTTGCTGCGATCTTCGCTGGAAGTAAATGCGACGAGTTGGGCGGCGGAGAAAAGAAACTTCCGAGCCTGTGAGCCGACCGACGATTAAGAGGAGTAGAAAACTTCTCCCAGACGCTCATGTGTCCTGCGCGAGATAACAAATGTCATCTCGGCTATACTACGCTTCGCGTCGACAGAATTATGGCCACCGCCATGTTCGCGGCGTCGCCGTGGACCTTCGTGCGGCGATACCTTTGCGTAAAAATACGAGGCGTGATACTAAATATTATTGCCATAAATATGCTTGCATTACACGTTTATGTTACATTAAAGACGCTAAATGTTACGTCAAATTTTGATATTAACACTGATTCCTTTATAAGGCTGTAATATTCTTTGGCACATTGATTTATAAATGCGATAAATTCTTTGTGTGCGATATTAAAATTTTTAATGTAGAGTTTATTTATCGCGTTATAATGCTGAAGACACGATACAGGTGCATATAGATAAAATAAAATGATTAATGCAAAAATAATTAAAAAATAAATCTTCAATACAAGAAATGATAATTATATCCAAGAAAGGACTAATAAATTAATTATCCAGCACTAATAAGTATTAGCGAGTCTATATGTTTAGAAACAAGATTAGAGCTCTTGCTTAATGATAGAAACGGTCCTGTGGGAAAGGTAATTTAGAGAGCCTTACGTTGGCGAGTATTTCGTACATTATCCCTTAATGGTGCGGGGAGCAAAAAATCCCTTGAGTGTTGCCACCTTCGCGCGTTATTAGGTACGATTATTCGATTGTATTTGCCGAATTCAATTTCACCGAATTTCCTTGACAAAAAATTTACAAGAAACGTCTTTGACACGATGAAATTATTAAAAATTCAAAACATTTTCGGAATGTTCAATCTAAGATTCGAATAGTTAAAACCCTTTTGAAAGAATATATATTTATGAAATATATATATATAATTATAAGAATTTCAGCTAAATTTATCGCTTAAAGTTATTTATAGTAAAACTTTGCGCAGATAAATAGGAGCAATAGAAATATAAAAGTTCTAGTCACGTTGTTCTTCTTCTATTTGTATCATGTTTGATTTATATTCCTATACAGAAAAGTGCAAGAAATGCAAGAAAACTTTAATATCTAAACTTTATGATAAATATTTTATAATTATATAATTGAAGCTCTCTTATATTATTAATCTAAGCATTATTACTGTTTACGTTTATTTTATATATCCGCAATGCTTTGTGATAATAGAAAACAGAAAGGTCTTGTATTGTATAATGATCATCAATAAATTACCGAAATTATAAATATTTCAAATACAGCATTTCGATATAACAGATCGTTTAAAAACTTAAATTAGAGGGATTGACAGCGATCCGTGCCGCGAAATTTAATTCATACTATGAATAATATTTCATAATGCGAGATTTAAATTCCAGCTTGGTTTCCCGACTTTTAAATCCATTTCAATTCTTTCTTGCAAGACAGAATTCATTTTAATTCTCCTATTGGAATAATCCGGCCTTAAAAAAAAAATTAATTTTTTTTACAAAATAAAATATGTTAAAATTTCTTTCGTTCTCGACATTTGAAATTCAGAGATTGCAACTTAATCTTACAGTGAGAATTAGAGTGAAATAATTATTTATCGAATTCCGTGAGAAAATACGAAGTAGCTATTTCAGACAAAAAGAGCAAGAAATTATCGAACAATCCTTTAATTTAAAAAATTAATAAAATGAGGCATTACAAAAGTAAGAGTCGAAAGCTTTAATTAATAATTATAATACGTAATTGATAAGTTTAAATATTTGAAATTTGAATTTTTAAAGATACAATTTACAGTCTAAGAGTTTCTTTATTTATTTAAATTATTCAGAAATTCTAATATTTTAAAATATAGGTTATTCGAGAGAATTAAATACCGAGAGAATTAAATTTCCGCATGTTCAAGTACAATGCTGCTGGTGGCCGCAGGAGTTAAACCGTACTGCTTTCGTATAGAACAAGTAGACAAAGACGACTAGCGGTTGAAGTCATGGGCGACAATTACCACGAGGGTGATTCGGTGCTATCGAAAATTAACTGCGCTGACTCGGACCAATGTGATCCCCTGGCAATAGTACATTATTGCACTAGGCTCTAGCACACGTAGTTAGTGCACATACATTAAACTAGAGTCTGCCTCGTAAATCTTCATTACCATAACGATTCTCAATCAATGGCTCGATAGGCGTTTATTCTTGAAATTTTATAAAATTTCATCAATGCTAAATATACAATCCACATCTCAATAACAACTGCAGCGCAATGGCTGTATCGCGCATTTTGTTAAGTATATCTAAATTTTTTTTTAAAATAACAGAAATATTTCGGACGCAACAAAAGGTATGTACCGTAATTGCATTATAAAAATCTGTAGCAAGCTATTTATCCAACATAAAATATTTGCTCACCCCCGGCCGTGTTTGGCATTGTCGTGAATTATTTTATTAATTCAAATAAGGTGGAAAGTGTTTATTTGGCATTATCGTGAATTACATTAATTAAAATAAGGTGGAAAGTGTTTAAATGCGAACGTTTTTATTGCGCGTAACATTATTTGTCGCGAATGTACAAATATTTTGTGAATTAATGTAATTGCACAGTGAAAATCCATAACAGTGAGAACAGAGGAATGTATTTCATCGAAGAAATGTGGTGGCGTTATTCGAGATATATCAGCGTTCGTTGCGCATTTCGTAATTCGCGCGACGCGCGGCACACGTTTTGCATATTTCAGGCAGAGTGTCAATTTCGTGAATCAATACAGGCATTGCCGCGTACCAAGATATTCCAGGTAACAAAAGCAATTTGGACTATTCCCCGTGGCAAATGAGGCGCCTCTGATTAACACACATTGGCTCAATTACACGGGTTAGCCGAGGGAACACGAAATTGCCTGCTATTAACGGTGGCGCAAGGGCGGATAGACATACGAGATATATCAGCCGGATAACACGACGATACGTTGAAAGCCATAGAACGTAACGGGATACTGCGGAACAAAATGTTTCGCTATTTTCTTCTTTTGCGCTAATTTAGGCCCACCATATCGTTCGCGCGCGCGGATTCCGCTCGTCGACGGGGCAAACCGCCGAATTAATGGCGAAAGTGGCATCCCCTCCCATAACGAGCTCGGCGAGGTACTTCAAGTTATAAACGTTGATTGTAAAGGGAGAAAACTAACATAATAAAAGATAATCTCCGAAAAGAATTTTTCGACGATAAAAAAAATACTTTGCTCGTTACAACTTGAGCTGTTACTCATAGTATCGTAAGTGAGATATCGTGCTTTCGGAACATCAAAATAATAGTCTTGAATTTTTTATATCTTATGTACTTTAGAAAAAGAATCATTCAAAAAGTTGTTTTATAAATTGTTTCGTATGAGAAAATGTTAAAGTTTTTATAAATGGATTATATCGCAGTAAGATACAAGTAAAACAGTTCAAATTATAGTACTCATTGTCAGTAGTACTCATTTTTTGCACAATACAGTTGAATATGATGAATAAATAAAAAGATATAATAAATAACATCATAACAAAGAAAAAATAATGCTTTTGCACAAATATACACTAAATTTAAAGAGATTTTTTTCAAAAGCTTGTAAAAATTATTATACGACTTACCCTTGCCGCAACGGGTCTCGTTCTTCTTCTCGTCCCTCTTAAACACTAAAACAATAATCAAAATTTTTATTACAAAAATGCAAATTAACTAAATTGCTATTAACAGTTTTAAGCTTGTATTTACAATCATATTTTTGTTCAGAAATATAGATGATGAATTTAGTTTCAAACATAGTACGATTTAACAAATAGATCTTAAAAGTCAATTTAACTTTCGTTGCGAGATATTTGCAACCGCGATTTGATTGAGATATTCAGGTAAAATTTATCTTAAGCCATAATCTGAATTTTGTTTTTCGCGGTTCAATAATAATTGATGTTTGAGAGAGAATCGTATGTGTTTATATAGCTTCAACCTTATAATAACAATAATTAAATTAATTTAGATAAATAATTTTTTAACTAAAATAAAGATAAATTGTACTTAAATAATAATTCTTTTTAAACGGCATACACAATCAACTAGATTGTCATTAAAAGAAAGAGTGAAATAATTTGCATGTAATCAAATTTAATTTTTAGTAATAATATACTAATATATATTTAATATCGACCAAATTGAAGCAAATTTTCTCGTAAATTAGGATATTTTACTTAAAACATTCTCGTTTTATTTAAATAGAATTATCTTAAATGACGCTAATAAAACAAAGCACAAAATATTTGCAAACAACCTTTTTATCAAAATTAATTTGAAATGTGTGGAATAGAAGTATTCGACATAGTGACATATTATCTCTCGAAATGTGGTCGTGACAAATACTATTGAAATGTATTCAACATTATTATATTTTGCAATAAACGATATGGCTATCCCAAGCGATTAAAGCATTTAAATGTACTGAAGCAACAATTTTTTTTTAAATATTTTCCATGACGTTTACATTAAATGGAATAAAAATCGAAATGATAGACAATAATAGATTCTAATTTCACGATATTTATATATAGGCGATAATTATTTTCTTAGCGATTGGATTTAAATATATATAATCGTATTACGCTTTAAACTTCTGATGCTGATACAGTTTATTACTATTATATACTGTTTTGAGATTAATAATACGGAATAAATACATATATGAATTGCTGAATCAAAAGTAATAATTAAGAAACGCTGTTATATTAATTACATGTTAATAATTAATTTGAAATACAGAATATTCATTGTACAGCTATTTTATAATAAATATTTTATGATAACAAGACTAGTTGGTATACAGTCTTGATATTTGTTTTGTTAACGTACGTCGTGAAAAGCCGCTGTGTATTATCATTTGCATTTGGTGAGATTCTAATGCAAAAGCAGGAAAGCCATTTTGTTATTCTATCGTTATATTATTATTTCTTCAAAACAATTATTTTCTGCAAGCGATAAGCTCGTATCAACTCGCTATTAACTTTCACGATTAATGATTGTAAATATATCGGGAATTTATTCAAGTATGTATTTAAATGATTTATTTATTTTACGTAGCAATAGGAGATAAAAATTATAAATTATTATTTTACTGTGACATTTATACAAACAACAATGATTTCTCTAAAACTTAAATTCTAATGTATTTCGCGCGCGTTTCGAATTTTTCGATTTAAACGTAATTTATTCGATACTTTTAGATAGAAAACGCAGATTGAGTAATATGCGAATCGCTGGATCAAATAATTAAAGTAATGGAAAACTGTGATATATCGTTAATACCTACATTTCATTGGACTTTTGCAATTTAAATATATTGCGCATGCAATCCAAGATTTCGATTTTATATTTTCGGATAATTAACCATTAACTCGATTTTATTAATTGTATTATGTAAGAAAATCAATGTCATTTTTGAATCATTTAGTTATGAATGAAAGACATATGTGAAACGCGAGGAGCATTATGTTTAATTAATAAGTATAGTTATAATTAAATTCGTACTTTAATATTTGTTAATTATGAAAGACATAAATTTTGAAGTTTATATACGTTATTTATTGTGATTTGACAAAATCTTTCACTATTTAAGGTTTTGTTGTGCTTAGTTCTACTGATTTGCATGATATGCGAATATCAACATATATCAAGCAAATTATAGGTTTTCGTACTTTTTTCGCGTTGATTTTTCATTATAATGTGCAATAGTAAATATTGTGTCTAATTAAGATTGGGAGAACTTATAGTCGCACGGGTCTTTGCCGTGCAAAGTTTTATGGGATTATAATTAGCCGTGTTTTCACGAATTATGAGTGTAATGAATAAATTTGAGGAGACAGGCTAAAATAAATTAATATACCTGTTTAACCTTGATTTATAATCTTTATTACACTGATTTTTTTATACACGAACATAAGTAAGATACTCTAGAATTACAGGTATTAAATTGAAATAAATTATGAAAATAAAATATGTTAACAATTTTAATTTAACTTTTTTATTGTTGAATAGATTACAAAAGCCCTCTATTTTTGTGTTTATTATTCAGATAATTTTAACGAAAATAAGAAAAAAGGGAAAGAAGTAAAGTAAACGTATGAAAATAGATTATCGATTTTTAGAATAGATTATTTTTATTATTTAAGAGACAGTTTTTAATTTACCTCACTTAATATCACTTTAGTCTCCCTTGCCTAAATAATTCTTTTTACTAGAAATATTTCATCTGTATTTATATATTTCCAAGATTAAATACTATATTAGACTGCCAAAAGAAAATAATATAGTTTCCATTAATATGTATTTCATAAATATAATTAAAATTATTTTTCAGATAAACATTTCAATTAACTTATTTAATAAAATATTTTATATAATTTGTTTCTATATCAATAACTTGTAATTTTATATTTCGAAATAAACATTTAATATTTGATAATTATATCCTATTATAATATTGCGGAGTGTTCCAATGTGTTCTGTAATATTTTAATGATATGAGATAATTCATCGGTATATAGTACCGCTTTTCATAATTAGCTGAACGCAATCTCAATTTATCACTAACCAAAATGTTATATTTATTGAATTGTGTATATATCTCAAAACAAAACTTTATTAAGAATCTGGCTTTTTTACTACAAAATTTATATAACGGCTATATATAGTACACAGTAGGGCTCACTATCATTTTATTCGACTTGAAATGAACAAAAATTCGAGTGTAATATAAGAGATCAAGGCTACTTTCGCTTTGCCGCTTACAGCGTTCACAGCGTTACTCCTTGCTGTTTGCCAAATGTTAATAAAGAACAAAAATGAATGCTCACAAGCGCTGTAATCGCCGAATCGAACGCAGCTCATGCGACGCAGTAGCGTCGCGACGCCAAGCACATATATAAAAAAGAGATCGAGTGATTACTTTATAGCGGTGACTTTTTGTCACACCGTTTTCCTTTCAGAAGGGTGCTGCATTTCGGAATTAAACGGAGATATATTGACGAGAGCTAGCGATATGATGGAGAGATTAACGATAATGTAGCTAAATCATAATTCTATATGATTATATTATTTAACTTGGCCCTAACCCTAGTATCTCCGTAATAGCGCAACGATTAAGAGATCGATGCCGGCGGGCGACTTGATTCGACGAGCAAGACGCGGGGACGCGCTGTCTACAATTAGTTACTATAATGTATACCTAATACGTGAGACAACGGCATTAATTACTCACTCGACGAAGTTGAAACGACGCCGAATGTGCACTCCCGTACGATTAATTTCACGCGCGATTATCGATGAATATACGACGGCACGAAGCGCCGATTATACGTCGCGTTGCGCACGGCTCAATTCTTTTTGTCGCAGCAGGTTCGCCCTCTGCGGGGCAGAGCGCGTTACTTTCTGCTTGCGGCTCTCCCTCGACATCGGGTAACTCAAATTCGTTAACGGATAAATTGCCGACCTCTTTGAACGCAAAACTCTATTAAATTATACATGAATTTACTGGTTTTTTTGATAGAAGATTCATATAACGAGTATAAATAAAAGTTCCTTTTATTCGATTTAAAAACTACTCATACTAGCATATCCAAAGTCGAGGCAAAACTCATTTCGTCTCGATTTTTAATATGCATGCTGTTTACTTGAAATAAGTTGACCAAATATTTGAATACAAGATTTTTGAAAGCATCAAAATCTTTTTTATTAATTTATCTCTAGCGATCCTCATCAACCGCTATATAGGCACTTGTCGATATCTTTTATTTCTCTACAATGCAAAAATATGAGGATTTATTTTACCCAATAAGTTTATTTTAAAAACTTCCGTGCACAATATTTTTTTTATCTTTTTATTTGCAATGAATTATTTATTATCACATAACAGAGCGGCGCCACGCAAAATCCAGTAATCGGGATTTTTTAGAGTCTGCAGCCAGAGCGACGTTACTAACAACATGTAAGTCCTCTGAGGCTTTTTATACACGGGACACTGTGCGGAAAAGGAAGGATTTAAATAATACATGGCACTGTTATTATGCACTTTATTTAATTATAGCTGACGTATACCGGTTGTAATTACGACTTATACATATATACTTACCTGATATAATTTCAGGCCCTTCTCTAGGGGAAGGATCTTGTCTGCATTATGTAAAGCGAAGATATGTACTAACGGCATTAATACGTAAAGGACTTTATTTGCCGATTCGCACAAACGACAGTGTCTCCGATCCCAACCGGCGCCCTCCAGAAACAGGCCATAAACGTAAACACCTTCCTATAATTCGCGAACATCGACATCATTAATTTATTGCAAAGAGATTTTTTATATATGTTATGTGTAATTATTATTACATACTGGCGGCGGTTTTCTAATTTCCTCCGCCATGTTACGTAAGACTTCATTGTAAAGCGTGACATTATCCAGAGCCCATTTGTGGGCCCGCGTTATTTCCTGCTTCATCGCCGTCAAAAATCCTGTCAGGTTAAATTCCGTCAGATAAACCATTCTCAAGTTACTGCCGAGCCTCATTATTGCTTATATTAAGAGCTCGTTTTAACGCGAAGATATGTATATATTATAAATGCCTTGTGGATTGAAGAAGCCAGTCATCCAGAACTTTATCGGTCTCCCGCTATTTAGCCAAGTCGAAAACTGTTGGTTCCTCTCCAGCAGTTCCGTAAACCAGAAACCCAAGGAAGCCGACTCCCACGATCGAGCCTTCCAGGTCTTCGGTATCCGGGCGTCGTATATATTGTCGAGGGCGTCTCGCAACTCCTGAAAATGTATTCATATTTATTCCACGGTATGCGGAACGTATAAGCCGCGCTTTGTATAACGATCGTAATTAGGGGATTCTAAGAAAATTACCTCGCTCATTATAATTACGCCTTCTATGGCCAACAGGAGATCCTTGAGCGTAACGCGCACTAATTTTATAACCACTTGTATTCTGTCGATCTCTTGTTTTAAGAAAATATTCATCGGGGCGGTATGATCCATTGCATGCAATCTATAATAACGTCAAAGAATTCGTTATTTTCTGAAATTTTTCTTAAACTTAAATTGAAAAAATTAAATATCAGGAAAGACCGTGGAATGTTAACAACAAATGAGATCCTATGACGCCTACACGGTGATAAAACAGGAGTCTTAGTGCTTCTATAATGTTATTAGTGTGAATCTTACAATTTTTTTGATTCATAAGACACTACGTGGCCGCCCATCGCGTGCTTCTCCGAACCGAGTAGTATGTAATATCACAACTAAATTGCTGAAGGCAATCTAATAAATCGATGCTCAAAGCATTCAGTACTTAAAAAACCCCCTCCCTCGCGACGTCCAATAAATGCTAAATAACATTTGTACGAACCATTCTCACCGAATCTGTAAAGAAATTTATTGCGAAAAAATATCACCTCACGTTCTCATGCGGATCTTCACGTTTGCCGGACGGGCGCCCTGCCTTTAGACCGCCGAGGCATGTGATAACATTCATCGCAATAAACAATCTAGCGCGTTTTCAAGCCGCGTAAATTCAAGTAATATATATATGTTTGGGCCACGTAGTGTTTTATGAACCAAAAAAATTGTAAGATTCACACTAATAATACGCTTCTCAACAAAATTAAAGCATCACTTACTCTACCCTCCAAAAATAGGCAAAATCAAGAGAGTATAACTTCGTCAAAAATGATCATATCAAAATGTTCAAAAAAGCATTTTACAGCTTCAAATCTCTACTTTTCAAATCGGTACTTTAGAAAACGATCCTACTGAT